AGAAAACGAATGCTATTTACACAATAAAACTGACATGATATAATTCAATTAACCACATAGGTAAAGAGGCTGAATAATTCTAGTTGTAATCACGTGATGGTGATTCAAAATATTTGTTGCATTCACGAATACTTGATGGTATGAAAGACTGTCGAACTCTGTTTGAGGGAAGGTAATCGACAGCAGCGTCCAGAAGGAAGTAGTTCAAAATGGTGAGATCAAATATGTCAACTATCAAATCTAATTTTAGTTGCCTTTGTGACAATCTGGCGCTCATAGATAAAGGGAATATACTTAAAAGACACCCCAGAAATTTTGCAAGCAGTATTAACAATTTTGAAAAGCTTGTTTTTGTTGCAATGAGACAGACTCCCATACCAACATAGAAAATTGTAGGTCAACACACTTTGAATAGAGGTTTGATAAAAACTGTCATTACTGTTTTGTCAATGCCTTGACAATAATAATGTTCAGAATCGGAAATTAGGCCAGTAACAGTGGCGTCATCTGCGAATTTCACAGTAAGCACGTCATATATTGACAAGTAACAGTCATTAGTATACAAAACGAAGAGTACGGATGAAGGAACACAGCCATTTGGTTCTGCAGTAGAGGTTGAGAGAAAAGAAGATTGATAGCCATTTACACTGACATACTGAGTTCTATGTACCCATCTGATAATGTTTTTATTAAGACCTATATTAAATATATATAGTTTACTCCTCATAAGGTGTGGCTGTATGGTATTAGTTGTTACAATTCTCTGCAGATGAGAGTAAATATTATACATCGTTTGAAATTTCACTTCTTAAAATGATAAGGTAACTATCTTGACAATTGATAGACATGGAGAAAGATAAAAAATCAAATGTATGGGCGTATCTTGATCTGGATAGAGAAAAGAGAAAAATAACCAAATGCCGCCTGTGCGGTATATCACTGCGTTTTGCAGGCAGTACAAGAGTGAGTGACTGAGTTTGGTTTTACGCCGCTTTTAGCAATATTCCAGCAATATCACGGCGGGGGACACCAGAAATGGGCTTCACACATTGCACCCATGTGGGGAATCGAACCCGGGTCTTCAGCGTGTCGAGCGGACGCTTTAACCATTAGGCTACCCCACCGCCCCTGGCAGTACAAGAAGTACGATGAAAAAAACAAGTGTCAAGTAAACATCCAAATACTGATTCTGACCAATGGGAAATGTTAGTCACATAACGATATGAAGTCGGAATGAAGTAAGTGTTCACTTGTGTGATCGGAACACATGTCATGCAAGTTACGCTATTGTTTGCTTGAAAGGTATGAATTTCGTAGTACTCGGGTCCGAGTCGAGTCTCACCCTCGAGTACTCGAGTCCAAGAAAATGGACTCGTTGAAGCCCTACTTCCTCCTGGACGCTGCTGTCGATTACCTTCCCTCAAAACAGAGTTCGACAGTCTTTCATACCATCAAGTATTCGTGAATGCAACAAATATTTTGAAGTATCACCATGTGATTACAACTAGAATTATTCAGCCTCTTTACCTACATGGTTAATTGAATTATATCATGTCAGTTTTATTGTGTAAATAGCTTTCGTTTTGAGCATGTAATTATTGTGTATATTTTTGTGAAAGGCTCGTTGACTTGGTTGACACATGTCATCGGTTCCCAACTGCGCAGAACGATGCTCATACTGTTGAGCACTGGATTGTATGGTCCAGACTCGATTATTTACAGACCGCCGACATATAGCTGGAATATTGCTGAGTGCGGCGTAAAACTAAGCTCACTCACTCACTCATAGCTATGTATACGTCCACAGTTTTACATGACTGACAAGATGCATGTTTAGATGTGCATTGCACGATGTCTATTATAATGGTATGTCGTCTCTATCATAGAGACAGGCGTCTCTGGTTGTGGATACTTGTTTAAGCTCCAAGTAATAATAATGTGTCCATTTATATAGCTCCAAACTCCACCCCAGATATGCTCTTAGCGCTAACAATCAAAGCACAGCACAGTATTACCCCGGATAACCCAAGCTGCATGTTAGGCGCTAGAAGGTTAATAGTCACAGGACTTGTTCCACCGGGTACCCATTTTCTGTTGGGTGAACAGAGGCAATTTTGAACAAACTCACTTGCCTAGGATGCTTTGTTGTGGGGGCAGACCGAAGTCCTAGAACCTCTCAGAAGTCAAGCTGCCAAACACGGCAACCCACCCAACGACTCTCCGCGCTCAGCGTTGCTTAACTTCACCTGATTGTGACCTGAGCTATACGCACATGACCACACACCACTACAACAAACTGACTGACTGACTGACTGACTGACTGAGTTTAGTTTTACGCCGCTTTTAGCAATATTCCAGCAACATCACGGCGGGGAACACCAGAAATGGGCTTCACACATTGTACCCTTGAGGGGATTCGAACCCGGGTCTTCGGCGTGACGAGCCAACGCTTTAACCACTGGGCTACCCCACCGCCCCACTACAACAAACAGTTAGGCTATTAAAGGCAATGGTCGTCAGCTGATGGTGGAGGTGATCACGTCAACATCAACGTGGACATCATCACCAAACAACAACATACCGCATCCGTGGTGTAGTGGTTAGAGCGTCCGCCCGGAGAACGGAAGGCCGCGGGTTCGATCCCCGACCGCGTCATACCAAAAGACGTTAAAATATGGTACTTGTTGGTCCCTGCCTGGCGCTCGGCATTAATGGGTACAACAAGGACTGGTCGGTTCGGAGTCAGTATAATGTGTCTGAGTGGTGTATTCATGCTTCACTGCGGCATGGTATCTCAGTGTGCTAGCACTATTAAACCAGCTTCAGTCTGGGCTAGTACAAGCAGCCGCACATACACATACACACGCATGCACGTCGTCATATGAGCGAAATATTCTCAAGCACGACGTTAAACCCAATTTCACCTCACCTCACCTCACCAAACAACAACACGACAATTAATATGTTCAAGGTAAAAATGATGAGATAATGAATAGGTATAATTAGAAACGCATGAAGTAACACGCCAGTCAGACGTATGCAGGTAATAAGATCATTTAAATTCACTTTACTGCATTGGATATTGATGATTAAATTGTTTACTTCGATATTAAAAGGAATGAGCCAGTATTCTCAATTCTGTTTGATCATTAGCAGTTAATGATTGTTCTAGTTCGATAAACTTCTGCCTTGTAAAGTATTTTGTGTGTGCATAACTCTTAACGTAGATCATCAAAATAGCACATAGTGGAATAATGATAATTAGTGCATGCATGGTGTTCTCGTGCCATGGCTTAAAGTCAAAGTCGATCTTCATGTACCTCAAATGCCCCATCTTCCATTCTCTGTCGTTAGAGTTTCTTATGTCAAAGACAGGAATACACAATGGATTTGTGAGAGACACACCTTTCTAGTTTTATTTAATGTATAAATACTCCATAAAACAGGAGGGCTGTCTACTAAACCTGTCCATGTTTGACAAACTAGATCCGAGATACGCTCTTATACATAAACCGACGTTCAAAAGAAAGTACACACCTGATTCTTTGGTAAAATATTTTCTTTAAAACAGCATCAATATCTAACAAGGTGTTTTGATTCTGCCTTGTCACAAACATTGTGCAAGTGTTTCCGAAACACCACAGATATTGTACCCAATTACAACATTGCTAGCAAAATATTTATGGTGTTATTTGGAATAGTCCCAAAACACCAGGTGTGTACTTTCTTATGTACGGCAGCATAGATATTCATTTTGTCCATACAAGGGTTCTGACGAATTTCAGATAGAAATATATATATGTTTTTTCCACAAATAGAATATTTTGGTACATATAACAGCACGCGATAGTGTATTATTAATGAGTGTTTACCAGTTCACCAACAGTCTCTATATAGACACCAGTAATGGGAACTCCCCCAACAGCGTGTAATGAGGTGCACTCATTTAACCTACCCGTGAAGATCCGGGTTCGAAGTGATCTTCAGTAACACATGCTAGTCGAAAGAGGCGTCTAACGGGATCGGGTGGTCAGGCTCGCTGACCTTGTTGACACATGTTACTGTATCCCGATTGTATAGATCGATGCTTATGCTGTTGATCACTGGATTGTCCGGTCCAGACTCGATGATTTACAGACCGTCGCCATATAGCTGGAATATCGCTGAGTGCGGCGTAAAACTAAACTTACTCGGTCAAAGTTAAGCTGCGGCAGGGTTTGTCAGTGGGCTAGCACTACCAACTGAAAGCCATTTATATCATATTAACATTATCTTCCAAAAGGTAGTGATCAGAAAAAATACCTTAAAAATGAACTATTTTGTAAATTTTGGTGGCTACAGGTCTATAGTATTTTGCTGAGGCTGCAACTGTTTTGGAGTGAGTGAGTTAATATTTAACGTCACATCGGCAATATCTCAGCCATATCGTGACAACTGTTTTGGAATCTACCCGACTGCAACATTTGAACAACTAGGGGGAAACTATACATATGGGCATTAATCAAGCACCACCCACTAGTTTAGATGTGGTATTACGAAATGCTTACGTGTATCGTAACTTAACCTAACGTAACTACAGTCATTTTCCAATTTCCATTTGATATTATTATTATTATCATTGTTATTATTCACTGTAACGAAAGTTTAGAACTTTAAAAATAAGAACTATATTTAGATACCTTTCTTCAGCACCGACTACTAACTTCATCAACCATATAATATATAAGCTTCAAGTGTGATCTTCGCCAGCAAACGTCCTTGGATATCTCGGTTTGTCATATAATCTAAGGCCATGGTCATAACATTTCTGAATAGATCGGCTATTTTCGGTGAAGATAGTTCAGGTGACTCGAAGTAGTGTGCGCTGAAAGGAAAAGAACGGAAAGGGACGAAGTTGGCCGAAAGTTGGTATAGGTGGCTTGGTCACCAAATCACGTAGAACGTCATCTCCTAGTGTGTACACATATCAGTGATGTCATAGAATAATGACGTCATATTCATGCAAATGTCGACAAGGAGACACTATTTCTGATTTCTTCCGAAGAAAGTTACGTTATCTGAGTGAAAAAGTCACAAAATCGTATGTAAGTACATTGGAGGCGAATCGTAAGCTAGTAATCCTCAATATGTTGCTCGGTGTAAGCTTGTCGGGCAGTAGAAACAACATGATAGGTGATCTAATGATACGTGATCTAGGCAACGCTACGAATATCCAACTTGGTCACGAATTCGAGTCTTATTCACGGGATTCGCAAGCTTAAGATTCGATATGAATTCAGATGCAAACATTACAAACGTGAAATGGATGTATACTGCTAAACAAAGTTACAGATCACGAATATTCCGGGGATATTTTTATGAAGGTCAGTGTTCAGTTTTCAATCCCCCAATTATTCCTTTCAAAAAGTCATGATCCCAAACTTGTTTTGTTCGATATGGATGAATAAGGCATACACCAATTGGTCTATTCTGCTCGGTCTGACACTGGTAACTTCCCTATATCTAAGCAAGTATTGTACTACATCATGGTGTTTCATTGCTGATCTGCCAGAATAATCAGGACAAACATGGATACCTGCGTGTATTCTACCTGTCTGACGCTTACTGTCTTCAGACTATGCATGTTAGATTGGGAATGTTGCTCTTTCACGTGAATTGCTACTCTAGGTCTGGGACGTGTCTACCCGTGTCGGGTAAATAATTTATTCCTTGTTTCCTGAATAAACTACCCGGGCCAGTTTCGTCCGCAAAGTCTGATATGTTGCCTAATTTCATAGTTCTAACTAAGATAATGAACCAACGTACAGCTTGTAATGGTGCCAGGTGCGTTAGTTATGACTGAAATATGACCCAACCACAGAATTTTGGTTTCAGTCGCTATGACTACCAAGGGAATTAGTCCAGCATATAACTAGATGACACGACTTTGCACTATACCAAGGTGTGCTGGATGTAGGCCTTGGCTGGAATACGAGTTTATTCATATGAACTACCAAGGGAATAAACTTTAAATGGAATTGTAACAGTACCAAGTTGTGTTCAAATAATGCTGTCTGAGTACAGGGTACACAAATTCTACCAATCCCAGCCCTACCCTACTCAGATACTGTCAATCATGGCCCATCCAAGGAAATTGTTTTACTGATGACTTTATCAATATATATAAGATTGTCTACATACAGACTGTTTTGATGCTATTTCCTATTTATAGTTGTAACAGTTCAATCCAAATACCCCACAGGTAATTCATTTGGATGTCCAGTGCCTATTCAAAAAGGTAATGTGGGCGAAAGAATTCTTTCCTGATTTAGCAGAATGAACAATGCCTGAATAGGGGTGCAGTGATACATGCTGATACTCTTTACAATACTTCACTGTTGGATCCAACATGTACCATCAGGATTCTCATGCCAGGGACCAGAAGCTTCCTTTTATTTAGAGTACCATAGGATCCAGTAAGCACACTTTGTACCATGACATCAAACATGTACCTGAAGGTTTCTTATATTTAGTGTACCAAGTCAAAGTGTACCATAGGATCCAGTAAGCACAGTGGAGAATAGGGTCCGGTCCATTCTTTGTACCATGACATCAAACATGTACCAGAAGGTTCCTTATGTTTAATGTACCACAGGATCCAGTAAGTAGTGGAGCATAGGGTTCGGTCCATACTTTGTACCATGACATCAAACATGTACCAGAAGGTTCCTTATGTTTAATGTACCATAGGATCCAGCAAGTAGTGGAGCGTAGGGTCTGGTCCATACTTTGTACCATGACATCAAACATGTACCAGAAGGTTCCTTATGTTTAATGTACCATAGGATCCAGTAAGTAGTGGAGCATAGGGTCCAGTCCATTCTTTGTACCATGACATCAAACATTACCAGAAGGTACCAGAAGGTTCCTTATGTTTAATGTACCATAGGATCCAGTAAGTAGTGGAGCATAGGGTCCAGTCCATTCTTTGTACCATGACATCAAACATGTACCAGAAGGTTCCTTATGTTTAGTGTACCATAGGATCCAGTAAGTAGTGGAGCATAGGGTCCAGTCCATTCTTTGTACCATGACATCAAACATGTACCAGAAGGTTCCTTATGTTTAATGTACCATAGGATCCAGTAAGCACACTTTGTACCATGACATCAAACATGTACCTGAAGGTTTCTTATATTTAGTGTACCAAGTCAAAGTGTACCATAGGATCCAGTAAGCACAGTGGAGCACAGGGTCTGGTCCATACTTTGTACCATGACATCAAACATGTACCAGAAGGTTCCTTATGTTTAATGTACCATAGGATCCAGTAAGCACAGTGGAGCACAGGGTCCAGTCCATTCTTTGTACCATGACATCAAACATGTACCAGAAGGTTCCTTATGTTTAATGTACCATAGGATCCAGTAAGTAGTGGAGCATAGGGTCCAGTCCATACTTTGTACCATGACATCAAACATGTACCAGAAGGTTCCTTATGTTTAATGTACCATAGGATCCAGTAAGTAGTGGAGCACAGGGTCCACTCCATTCTTTGTACCATGACATCAAACATGTACCAGAAGGTTCCTTATGTTTAATGTACCATAGGATCCAGTAAGTAGTGGAGCATAGGGTCCAGTCCATTCTTTGTACCATGACATCAAACATTTACCAGAAGGTTCCTTATGTTTAATGTACCATAGGATCCAGTAAGTAGTGGAGCATAGGGTCCAGTCCATACTTTGTACCATGACATCAAACATGTACCAGAAGGTTCCTTATGTTTAATGTACCATAGGATCCAGTAAGTAGTGGAGCATAGGGTCCACTCCATTCTTTGTACCATGACATCAAACATGTACCAGAAGGTTCCTTATGTTTAATGTACCAAAGGATCCAGTAAGTAGTGGAGCATAGGGTCCAGTCCATACTTTGTACCATGACATCAAACATTTACTAGAAGGTTTCTTATGTTTAATGTACCATAGGATCCAGTAAGTAGTGGAGCATAGGGTCCAGTCCATACTTTGTACCATGTCCCTCAAGTCCACTGTACCACAAGATCTAGCTAGTATTTTGGAGCATAGGGTCCAGCTCATATCACATACCATAACATAATATCCTGCATGTACCAGTAAGTTCCCGATCTTTCATGGTCATGTACCATAAGATCCAGACTATTCTGTTATAAGGTACAGATCAAAGACATTACTTCAAGGTAGATCATCTTTGTATCTAGGTCATTCATCAGTGATAATATATTTTATTCCAGCTAAAATGGGTAGGAAAACAAAGCTACCCCCACTTCGGCCACCGAGCTGCACAAGCCCGATCTATGACCCTGGAGCCAGGGATCCTCGCCGTGTGCGTCTCCCACAGATTGTCAACACCCCACTGGTGACGACTGTACAGGGACAGAACAACCTTGGACGACGTGTCAGACCACCTACAGGTTGGAGATACAATCAAAACAGATCTGTGTCAAACTCTGTCTACTTTACATTAATATTCTCAGCAGATGTTAGGCAAACAATATTCACTGTTATACGCTGGGTTTGTTGAACAGAAAATGTTTGTGACAAATCTCAGGGATCAGACTACAGTGTTTCTCACTGAATTATGATACATGTTGACAGTCTACATGCAGCTTGAAATTTTTCTTTTTAATGCCTTAATATTATTTTATATATAAATTGATGTTTTTCAGCTCAGTGATGCTGCTTACAGATTTTGAGGCAGGACAGATAGTCAGTGCCATTTATTTCAAATCATGCAAAATAATCCTACCCAAAATTACAACACAGTTCAGAGGTAGAGGGGGCTACATCTCCTGCAGTAATGAAATTCCCCTCAACCTTCCCAAATAGGATTTCTGACATAGTATTCAACAAATATTCATTTGTGTCACTTACTCTGTACGTAAATTTTAGTAAATTTTAGTAGTGTGCCTGTGTTTCGTTCACATTTCCATTCACATTGTACAATCATCGCTTCTCCATTAAAATCATCATCACCCCCCATTGTCATAAATTATGAACGGTCCCTTAGAATATGTAATGACGTGGTATTTTGATTATACTAGATTTTGATGTATGCTGAATATAATATCCCTGTCACCTCTGTGTATGAAGAAATAAAGAATATTTCAGAGGCCTCTGGTCAGGCTGTCGTTGAAACAACAATGTTGTTTGTTTCAGGTTCTCACCACAGCACATCAGTGCACTCCGTGAACTACTTGCCACACCCACCTTGCAGCCGTGAACCAGCAGCCTACAATGACAACACCCAGATGCCTCACCCTAGTTTCAAGGACTACCAGGTCAGACGACCAGTCAACTCCCAGTTGGATCTGACCCTGCCAAGCATCAACAATGGACTTTCACGTAGACATGTCCGTTTGCTCCGGAGACAGCAGATGTCTCACATGACGTATGGTGAGTTGTTCAGGGCGATGAAACTAACCAGGATCTTATGGCCATGGCATGTTTTATTTATGATATGGGTTGTAGAATTATTGTTTCAAAGCCCTGTGACCAGTTTGGGTTTGATTGTGTGATTGACCTGGATCACTGTGACCAGATTAGGTGTGACAATGTCCTTGACCTGGACCACTGTGACCAGACTGGGTGTGATTATGTGATTGACCAGATCACTGTGATCAGATTGGGTGTGACCTTGATTGACCTGGATCACTGTGACCAGATTGGGTGTGATTGTGTGATCCAGGTCACTGTGATCATCTTGTAGATTTCATATGCCATTAAACATAGTAAGTCTGACATTACAATTCAGACAACGTCTGGCATTCCTTGAGCAACTTGTAGGCATAAATGACCAGTGAGTCTAACTATTGTTGTTGTGTAGGTGGGAACGAGAGACTCAGCCCTCAAGGAGGACCTGGAAGCAGCCACCACTCTCCTGAAGCAGTGCCTCTAGCGATCCATGGACAGAGGATCTACACCCCATTTACTCGCTCCCCCGGGGAAGGCATGGAGGACCCAGTCTCAGACGTCAGCTCCGAGGAGATTTTCCCCTTGGGTAGGTTCAGTGTAAGCTTTGAGAAATATGGCTATCTTACTGATGCAGATGCAACATGCAATTGTCCTCATGGCCAACTGGTTAGAACTAGTAAGAACTGGTTCCAAGTGACCTCTGTTGTATGAGGAGACATTTACGTACTGGCAGTCAGATTGCATGCCCTCTTTGTCAGGTATTGAATTTCTTAAGGAGAAAGCTTAGTCAGCGTGTGTACAGTGATGGCACTATACTGAATATCATGAGCACAAGATGCAGAAAGTTTTTAATCTCGGAGAATGATTTGGAATAAAATATACTCCAGAAATGCAAAGTACCGAAGAAACTAGACCATAAGTAAGTGACAATGCATTCAAGTTTCAGGTATGAAAGCATTTAAATACTGATACCAAATCCTAATCTGCCTCTTCTGCAACAGGTGGATCAGACAGCACAACCACAGTGCAGCGCCTCAACCTGTCCGAGGTACCATCTCTCAACCTGCCACAGATCCCCAGGCGATCTCCACGACTCCTCACACCCCGGCTGATGGCCCAGGACTACGCAGCTGATGACATGAGGTCACCCAGCCCCAGCACATTACCCCATCTTCCTCGCATCAGGAAACACAAGAGGAGGGCCGCCACTGATGATTGCTAGACAACTCTTGAAGACACAACACAAGTATTTCAAAATCAATATTTAGGCAGTTAAGGTGAAACTTTATTTAGATTTTATGTAACATTTGGCAACAAAGAACCTATTTTCTAGTTAAAGAGTGTCTTTTCAGGTCTTCAAAAGTGAAATTATATTTAATACTAGCAACAAAATTTGGGGTTAATTGGTACATGGGTAGCTATTTTCCTAGAAAACATTACGAGCAACGTTTCGAACAATATAAAGGGTAAGATTTCTATTGATACCATTTTAGTATAGCAGTGAATTCGACAACTTGTGTTCAACTTTTATTTGACAGTTATGATGAGATATTTTAGCCTTTTCTTGAGGCATGCGATTTTGTTATTACTGACATTTTGCCTTACTTTTTAAGGCTATATCCTACTGAGAACCCTGTGATACTGTTTCATGATATGTTTTAACCAGATTTTTATGAAGTATTGCCACAGTATACAATGTACAGTACACTGATTGAACTCACGATGCCTCAATTTGCCAGACACTGAATTATATGTAGGGCTGCTTTGAGGATAGAGGAATATACATATCTTGCAAAACATAGGTCTTATGACAGTGTCCACCAAGTTAGCATACTGCTCTGACTCAGAACACTTTAGTAGTTTCCTATCCAATATGGACAAGTATTATGTAATTTATAAGGTCTTTTCAAAATGATGATGCAGTTCAGTGTTATCACGCGTTTTTCAATGGGGCACAAGTGAAATGATATTACTTTGAAGTAATGATGCAACAACTGGCCATGTTATTTTCAGAATCTAGTCAATAAACTAAGAAATTACCTCATGTTTGTTAAGTGGATTATATGAGATATTAATCAATCAATAATTGCATTTGTGCTCTAAATGTCATCATTGAATGTGAAGTTAGCAAAATCACAATAACTAACCTGAACTGCTCAATCAAGCTATCAGTTATACCACAAGGGTTGGGAGTTGAAGAAGTAATTTTCTTATTACCTGAACATGTGTGAAGCTTGGTATTGACATATTGGTATTCAGTTTTACTGATAAAAGTATCTAAGCGATGTCATTCATGGCCATGGGTGTTTTGACAGACATAAAATGCCACAGCTGTTACATACAATTGATCACAGCACATATCCATCATTTCATGGTTAGAGATAGTCTGTATCATAGAGTCATATCATATCTTGAGTCAAGGTCATCTGTCAAACTTGATGCCTTGGTCAGAGCAACATGACCATCTCCACTTCTGATGCAGCTGTATCTCGTAAGATCACAGAACATCATTCGGTATCAGCTGTACTGAGGTCACAGATGGGATTCAACTTCTGATGTGCTTATCAGACACCTGGTTTACGATAGAGATAATCTGCCAGGTGACACCTTGTCTACCATAGAGGCTAACCCAATCTGCCAGGTGACACCTTGTCCACCATAGAGGCTAACCCAATCTGCCAGGTGACACCTTGTCTACCATAGAGGCTAGCCCAATCTGCCAGGTGACACCTTGTCCACCATAGAGGCTCACCCAATCTGCCAGGTGACACCTTGTCCACCATAGAGGCTAACCCAATCTGCCAGGTGACACCTTGTCCACCATAGAGGCTAGCCCAATCTGCCAGGTGACACCTTGTCCACCATAGAGGCTAGCCCCAATCTGCCAGGTGACACCTTGTCCACCATAGAGGCTCACCCAATCTGCCAGTTGACACCTTGTCTACCATAGAGGCTAACCCAATCTGCCAGGTGACACCTTGTCCACCATAGAGGCTCACCCAATCTGCCAGGTGACACCTTGTCTACCATAGAGGCTAGCCCAATCTGCCAGTTGACACCTTGTCCACCATAGAGGCTCACCCAATCTGCCAGTTGACACCTTGTCCACCATAGAGGCTCACCCAATCTGCCAGGTGACACCTTGTCTACCATAGAGGCTAGCCCAATCTGCCAGTTGACACCTTGTCCACCATAGAGGCTCACCCAATCTGCCAGGTGACACCTTGTCCACCATAGAGGTTAACCCAATCTGCCAGGTGACACTTTGTCTACCATAGAGGCTCACCCAATCTGCCAGGTGACACCTTGTCTACCATAGAGGCTCACCCAATCTGCCAGGTGACACCTTGTCTACCATAGAGGCTAGCCCAATCTGCCAGTTGACACCTTGTCTACCATAGAGGCTAGCCCAATCTGCCAGTGACACCTTGTCTACCATAGAGGCTAGCCCAATCTGCCAGGTGACACCTTGTCTACCATAGAGGCTAGCCCAATCTGCCAGGTGACACCTTGTCTACCATAGAGGCTCACCCAATCTGCCAGGTGACACCTTGTCCACCATAGAGGCTCACCCAATCTGCCAGGTGACACCTTGTCCACCATAGAGGCTCACCCAATCTGCCAGGTGACACCTTGTCTACCATAGAGGCTAACCCAATCTGCCAGGTGACACCTTGTCCACCATAGAGGCTAGCCCAATCTGCCAGGTGACACCTTGTCCACCATAGAGGCTCACCCAATCTGCCAGGTGACACCTTGTCCACCATAGAGGCTAACCCAATCTGCCAGGTGACACCTTGTCCACCATAGAGGCTCACCCAATCTGCCAGGTGACACCTTGTCTACCATAGAGGCTAGCCCAATCTGCCAGATGAAACATTGTCTACCATAGAGGCTAACCCAATCTGCCAGGTGACACCTTGTCCACCATAGAGGCTCACCCAATCTGCCAGGTGACACATTGTCTACCATAGAGGCTAGCCCAATCTGCCAGGTGACACATTGTCTACCATAGAGGCTCACCCAATCTGCCAGTTGACACCTTGTCTACCATAGAGGCTAGCCCAATCTGCCAGATGAAACATTGTCTACCATAGAGGCTAACCCAATCTGCCAGGTGACACCTTGTCTACCATAGAGGCTAGCCCAATCTGCCAGATGACACATTGTCTACCATAGAGGCTAACCCAATCTGCCAGGTGACACATTGTCTACCATAGAGGCTAGCCCAATCTGCCAGGTGACACATTGTCTACCATAGAGGCTAACCCAATCTGCCAGGTGACACATTGTCTACCATAGAGGCTAACCCAATCTGCCAGGTGACACATTGTCTACTATAGAGGCTAACCCAATCTGCCAGGTGACACATTGTCTACCATAGAGGCTAAACCAATCTGGAAGGTGACACCTTGTCTACCATAGAGGCTAAACCAATCTGCCAGGTGACACCTGGTCCACTATAGAGGCTAACCCAATCTACCAGGTGACACATTGTCTACCATATAGGCTAACCCAATCTACCAAGTGACACCTTATCTACCATAGAGGCTAACCCAATCTGTAAGTTGACACCTTGTCTACCAAAGAGGCTGACCCAATCTGCCAGGTGACACCTTGTCCACCATAGAGGCTAACCCAATCTGCCAGGTGACACCTTGTCCACCATAGAGGCTCACCCAATCTGCCAGGTGACACCTTGTCTACCAAAGAGGCTAACCCAATCTGCCAGTTGACACCTTGTCTACCATAGAGGCTAGCCCAATCTGCCAGGTGACACCTTGTCCACCATAGAGGCTAACCCAATCTGCCAGGTGACACCTTGTCTACCATAGAGGCTAACCCAATCTGCCAGGTGACACCTTGTCCACCATAGAGGCTAGCCCAATCTGCCAGGTGACACCTTGTCCACCATAGAGGCTAACCCAATCTGCCAGGTGACACCTTGTCCACCATAGAGGCTAACCCAATCTGCCAGTTGACACCTTGTCTACCATAGAGGCTAGCCCAATCTGCCAGGTGACACCTTGTCCACCATAGAGGCTCACCCAATCTGCCAGGTGACACCTTGTCTACCATAGAGGCTAGCCCAATCTGCCAGTTGACACCTTGTCCACCATAGAGGCTAGCCCAATCTGCCAGTTGACACCTTGTCTACCATAGAGGCTCACCCAATCTGCCAGGTGACACCTTGTCTACCATAGAGGCTAGCCCAATCTGCCAGTTGACACCTTGTCCACCATAGAGGCTCACCCAATCTGCCAGGTGACACCTTGTCCACCATAGAGGTTAACCCAATCTGCCAGGTGACACTTTGTCTACCATAGAGGCTCACCCAATCTGCCAGGTGACACCTTGTCTACCATAGAGGCTCACCCAATCTGCCAGGTGACACCTTGTCTACCATAGAGGCTAGCCCAATCTGCCAGTTGACACCTTGTCTACCATAGAGGCTAGCCCAATCTGCCAGGTGACACCTTGTCTACCATAGAGGCTAGCCCAATCTGCCAGGTGACACCTTGTCTACCATAGAGGCTAGCCCAATCTGCCAGGTGACACCTTGTCTACCATAGAGGCTCACCCAATCTGCCAGGTGACACCTTGTCCACCATAGAGGCTCACCCAATCTGCCAGGTGACACCTTGTCCACCATAGAGGCTCACCCAATCTGCCAGGGACACCTTGTCCACCATAGAGGCTAGCCAGGTGACACCTTGTCCACCATGATCTGCCAGGTGACACCTTGTCCACCATAGAGGCTAGGCCAGGTGACACATTGTCCACCATAGAGGCTAACCCAATCTGCCAGGTGACACCTTGTCTCACCATAGAGGCTCACCCAATCTGCCAGATGAAACATTGTCTACCATAGAGGCTAACCCAATCTGCCAGGTGACACCTTGTCTACCATAGAGGCTAACCCAATCTGCCAGGTGACACCTTGTCTACCATAGAGGCTAGCCCAATCTGCCAGGTGACACATTGTCTACTATAGAGGCTAGCCCAATCTGCCAGGTGACACCTTGTCTACCATAGAGGCTAACCCAATCTGCCAGGTGACACCTTGTCTACCATAGAGGCTAGCCCAATCTGCCAGGTGACACATTGTCTACCATAGAGGCTAACCCAATCTGCCAGGTGACACATTGTCTACCATAGAGGCTAACCCAATCTGCCAGGTGACACCTTGTCTACCATAGAGGCTAACCCAATCTGCCAGGTGACACCTTGTCTACCATAGAGGCTAACCCAATCTGCCAGGTGACACATTGTCTACCATAGAGGCTAACCCAATCTGCCAGGTGACACATTGTCTACCATAGAGGCTAACCCAATCTGCCAGGTGACACCTTGTCTACCATAGAGGCTAACCCAATCTGCCAGGTGACACCTTTGTCTACCATAGAGGCTAACCCAATCTGCCAGGTGACACATTGTCTACCATAGAGGCTAACCCAATCTGCCAGGTGACACCTTGTCTACCATAGAGGCTAACCCAATCTGCCAGGTGACACCTTGTCTACCATAGAGGCTAACCCAATCTGCCAGGTGACACCTTGTCTACCATAGAGGCTAACCCAATCTGCCAGGTGACACATTGTCTACTATAGAGGCTAACCCAATCTGCCAGGTGACACATTGTCTACCATAGAGGCTAAACCAATCTGCCAGGTGACACCTTGTCTACCATAGAGGCTAAACCAATCTGCCAGGTGACACCTGGTCCACTATAGAGGCTAACCCAATCTACCAGGTGACACATTGTCTACCATATAGGCTAACCCAATCTACCAAGTGACACCTTATCTACCATAGAGGCTAACCCAATCTACCAAGTGACACCTTATCTACCATAGAGGCTAACCCAATCTGTAAGTTGACACCTTGTCTACCAAAGAGGCTGACCCAATCTGCCAGGTGACACCTTGTCTACCATAGAGGCTAACCCAATCTACCAAGTGACACCTTATCTACCATAGAGGCTAACCCAATCTGTAAGTTGACACCTTGTCTACCAAAGAGGCTAACCCAATCTGCCAGGTGACACCTTGTCTACCATAGAAGCTAACCCAATCTGCCAGGTGACACATTGTCTACCATAGAGGCTAACCCAATCTACCAAGTGACACCTTGTCTACCATAGAGGCTAATACAATCTTTAAGTTGACACCTTGTCTACCATAGAGGCTAATACAATCTTTAAGGTGACACCCTGTCTACCATAGAGGCTAATACAGTCTTTAAGGTGACACCTTGTCTACCACAGAGGCTAATCCAATCTGCCAGGTGACACATTGTCTACCATAGAGGCTAACCCAATCTGCCAGGTGACATATTGTTAACCATAGAGACTAATGTTTAACATTCCAGTTTTCATTTCAGCAGTCTGTTCATCTATGAGGCACTGGCTTCTAAGAGACATAAATGTCTCAGTTCTTCTTCCAAAACCTGTGTCATCCATTCCTTCATCAGTCTCTCCATCCCCCCATTTGGATCCTCACTTCTACATTACCATCACTACATCAATATCGTGGCATTTAATCAACAGCCTGTAAAGTGTGTTTGATTTTAATAATAATTCTAACCTTATTGTAACTTAAATTTCACCCACAATCATTACAAAATTATATTGGTTAAAGAATGTGCTATCAATAGTTTTGTTTGTTTGGCTGCTGTCAAACTTCATTAGAAGTAATTTTAATTGAACAAGTAATT